GCCAAGCGTAGCAACTTTAGCTCTTTCCAGTCTATTTTCTTTCTGTTGCGGTGTAAGTTCTTGCATTTTTTGAAATTTGAATTACCCCGAGCTCATTTTTAAATATTTGCCAAATGGAATTTTCCAATATGTTTAGCTGACGGGCCATTTTTCTTTCACTGCGACGCGGGTTTCGATCAAGTCGCTCCTTTACTTTTCGAACCATTTCTGCTGATGTTGCTGTTTTCTTCCGTCCACTTCCTTGACGTCGGGCTACGCTACTAGTATCACGGTAACGAGCGATGGTACGAGACACAAAAGAGTGATTCACATTTAAATGCTGGAGTGCTCTAACCATAGCCACTTGTGGTTTTCCAGCCCAATATGAAGAAATCACACTACCGCGCTTGAATTCCATCACATATAACTTATTTTCTGGAACATTCTCACCAAAATGCTTTTTTACGCTTGTAAACAATATAATGAGCTGTCATTGGAATAATTTTAACAGCTGTCGGACGAGTGGCTTAAAAATGACAGCAGTCTGAAGTTGGTTGCAGTTTTTTTTATCTTACCATTTGGTGTTTAAGCCCCTCCAACTCGTAATTTTCACTCTACAACAATGATATTTGGTACCAGATATCTAATACAGTTCAGAAATATCTCTGTCAAATTTTATCGAAATCGGTTCAGATCATAGATATAGCTTCCATATATATTTTCACCCGATCATTTTCCACCAATTATGTGAGATTTTTTCACAATCAACCTAATTTTTACATCGGTTCCTCTATTGCTCCGGTATATGTTTTTCAATATAATCCTTCTCGAAGTCATATCATGCACTCTATAACAATGTTATTTGGTACAAGATAACCAAATGCCTCCCATATATTAGTTATCTATGATTACAAATTATATCTCACAAATATTTTCAATATAATAGTGTATTTTAAATATGCGTAAAGGTGTAGAGTATCATATAGTCGGCCCGAACGTCCTTTCCCCCCCTTGCCGGGTTTTTAAATATTTTAACTGAACCGAAATAAGAATCACCAGTTTTGTATAATAATAAATACAAATATTTTTATTTTTTAAACTCTGTAAAAACCGTTACCACCGATACTGCATAATTGTATTTCGGCCTGCAGACACACTGCAACCAGACTTCTCCTGTGCCCAGGATCATTTACATGTAACTTCATGTAACATAAAATATACAAAAATTAAAAAGCACACACAATTTTGTACTAATATTAGTACAACGTACTTGTGGTGTAGTGGCAGCAAACCAATGAGGTCACCAGACAGAAGAAGTAGTCAGTCGTCAACAGTCATGTTGTAGTAGAGTACCATGTTGTGGTGGGGAGCTTTATGTGATAAGCATTACGTTTTTGTTTTTGGTCTTTTCCAGCCAGTCAGTTGTCGTCACAAGGCAAACACAAATGTTGTGTACCAACAAAAAACAAATGGCAGCGGTGATACACTCGCACTTACAATGCAGTGCAGGGATTTATCTGTGAGTGAAAAGCACTTCTTGTTTTTTTTTTTCTTCTTCTTTTAGCAAATACTGTTTGGGAAAAAGTGTCATTATTGTTTGTCATTTGGGTATCCTTTGTAGCTTTATCCATTGGGGGCAAATAGAATGGGTTAATCTCTACCCACCAAGAACCCAGAAAACAGATGAGGCTACTTTTTTCAAACTTTGTGTTATTTCCCCTTTTTATTTTTGGTCTTTCATTTAGACGTCATAGTTTTATTGTATTTGTGATTTGTCCTTAAACCACACCAATGTTTCAATACCTTATATAGTATAAGTACATATATATATATAAAATATTGAGCTTTTACGTCACATTTGGAATTTGGTGGTAAAAAAAGTATTAAGCAAATAAGTAAATCGGCGTGAAAACCTAATCTTCTGACTACACTTTTCTTTGTGGGTATTATTACTTTAATGTTTGCATGTCATTTACGCTTTACGTTACTGACCTTCATGTACGAAAGGGTTTTTGGAAAATTCGATCTTGAAGGTTACGAAGAGTTCTAAAATGGTACTGATGAAATGGTACCATTTGGTATTATGTGAACGGATAGAGTTAAATCTTAAAAAGTGGTATGAGAATCAAACGTTTGATATTTAAAGATGGTACTGCATATATGTAAAAAGTGTGGATGAAGCTGGGATTTGGAAAGCTTGCACTAGGTCCCTGTTGGTGGCAAAGGAAGGGTTTTGAGAATGTGCGCTACAAGTGCACGAAAGGTACTAAATAGTTCTACGTTTGGTACAATTTGATATTTAATGAAGAGATAGTGCTTGAAATCTGTGATTTCGTATTAGGATCGCTGTTTATGTGTAGCCCATACATATGGAGGTGGTTTCGAAAATGCGTCCTATATTTGTAAGAAAAGTACAAAATGGTACTAAATTTGGTATTGGATGTGAAGGGATAGAGCTGGTAACCTCAAATTTGTTGGTATCTAGAATAGAGATATGGAGGTGTACTAGAATTGTAGAAAAGTACTAGGTTTGGTAATTGTTGAAGGAATAGATCTGCAATCCTCAAATTTGATTTGGATGACATTTGATTTAGATGTCACTGTTAGTGTCTGGGGTTCCCTCAACAAAAATGGAAACTTTTCAAAAAAAAAAAAAATGGTTTTCCTTACAAAGTTTAGAATGCCATCTTTATTAAAAATACAATGTCATATTAGAGCATAATAAATACGATTGGTGGAAAATTTCGTATTGTCATCAGTCTTCTCCAAGACTGCAAGAACAATCCTAAGCAAAATATATTGATTGTGCCGAGTATATGATACCCATCTTCGCTTTGGAATATCTTCATATGGTTTCGGTCACTTGTACATAAATTCGCTAAAGTTGGACAACCTAGTGTGGTTAGTTGAAATTTAATTGAATTTAACAGAAATACGGGTGAGATAAAAAACTGCAACAAAGTCAAACGCCATAATTTTTACATTTTTTTTTTTAATTTTATTGTATGAAAGCAAAAAATGTCGGAAATAGTATCAAATTTTAGAATAAGTTTAGATTTGTTCGAATTGGTCACCTTTGGCACGAATTATGGCCTTCATACGGCCAATGTAACACGCTGCCCGAATCTTGCTCTGCGGTATTTTGGCTCATTCCCAGCGAAGCTCTTGCTTGAGATGATCGACACTTTGGTATTTTTTGTTGCCTTCAAAATACTCCAGACACAATAGTCCAACGTATCCGGAGATTTTTGTGGCCATGCGTGCGCTGGAAATGTAGCGAGGAACCTCATTTTGTAACCATTCTTGGGTTGAGTCCTGTTGGAATGTCCAGGGTCTGCGGTCAAAATGTTTGCATGCTTTAATGCACCCTCCAGGATATTTTCGCGATAATATTCGGTAATTTATTCTGATGCCACGGTCGATTAATACGAGCGGAGAGCGACCATCGGCTGTAATGGCGGCCCATATCATCAGCATGGCCGGCGCTTGAGTTCTGGTGGCTAACCACATGGTGCACATTTTCACCTGACCTCTTTGGCAAGTAAACACGATAATTTTGTTTGTTTACAAACTGCTGGACAACGAATGTTTTCTCATCGGAGAAAACCAAATTCGACAGATCACCACTTTCGGCCAAGCGAAGCAACTCTTTAGCTCTTTTGAGTCTATTTTCTTTCTGTGGTGGTGTAAGTTTTTGTACTTTTTGGAGTTTCAATGGCTTTACCCCGAGCTCATTTTTCAATATTTACCGAATGGAATATTGCGATATGTTCAGCTCACGAGCCATTTTTCCGCCACTGCGTCGCTTCTTTACTTTTCGAACCATTTCTGCTGATGCTGCTGTTTTCTTCCGTCCGTATTACGGTAACGAACGAGCGCTGGTAGGAGACACAAATTATTTATTCACTTTTAAATGGTGGAGTGCTCTAACGATAACCACTTGTGGTTTTCCAACCAAATATAAAGATGTCACACCAACACGCTTGAATGCCATCGCGAATAACTTTTTTTCTGGAAAATTCACTGTCACTGGAATAATTTTAACAGCTGCCGGAAGTGTGGCTTAGAAATGACAGCAGTCTGAAGTTGGTTGAAGTTTTTTAATCTCACCCTGTAGTAAAGGTATAAAAATAACATATTCCCTCATAGATTATGTCGTAAAGGACTGCAGTCTGAGTTGTAGCAGTTTTGAATAGAAAACCCTTTGCAAGTTTGTGTGGGGTTTACGAGGTTTTTATGGATAATCTTTTGTTACTAGAAAAGTTTGTAAAGGAATGTTAAATATATAATACCTATTAAAAATTTGTTAACTAATCGCTGAAAATGTCAAGACTTCCTTTACCCTATTGTCTGACAGAACTAATTGACTCTTTTGGCTTTGTCATCGTCCCAACGCTATACGCCAGTCCTTATGATGTGGGTGTAACCAATCCATCCAGTAATACACTAAAAATGACAAAAAAAAGAGGAACAGCTGTTGCACCAATGTAAAGTGACACACGAAATGTGTGTGTGTGTGTGTTTACAAAGCAACATTTATTGTGGATGATTTGTTTGATTTGATGTATCGATAGAATGGGAAATATATTGCACTGTTTGTTTGCTTGCAAGGTCCGATTTTTGTCGGTTTAGGGTATACAAACAAATGCACCCTGTAGTATAGCTAGCTTTTAATGTGACATGACAAGGCTATGCTGCTGTCAACCTTGGGAGCAGAATTATTGATCAAACCATCTATATCTTAGTTTAGATTCAGTTTGACATCATGTAACTATTAATTTTAAAGTTATTGTTTTTGAGAAACATTCTTAAACAATTTTATAAAAATGTATGTTTTATATTGGCCAAAGATGCTTGAACGGCATTACTGTCCAATATTCCAGTTGTTTAGTTAATATCTTACTGCTCATGAAAATAAAAATAAAATATATCTAATTTTGCAATTTATATTTACATTTTTTTTTTTAAATTATTTTACATAAACTGTAATATTTCATTTAATTTTCTTTGTTCTGTTGCAGGTAATGGAGAAGCTAGTTGGTGCTTCTCACAAATAAAAGGAGCCTTAGATGATGATGTTACCGATGCAGATATCATTTCCTGCGTTGAATTTAATCACGATGGTGAGTTGCTGGCAACTGGTGATAAGGGTGGACGTGTCGTTATTTTCCAGGTGGGTATCAAATATGCACCACAAAATTGGTATTTTATAACTAATAGTGTTTTCCATTTTTAGCGCGATCCTGCATCGAAAACGGCAAATCCACGACGTGGTGAATATAATGTCTATTCGACATTCCAATCGCATGAACCCGAATTCGATTATCTCAAATCGTTAGAAATCGAAGAGAAAATCAACAAAATTCGATGGTTAAGAAGAAAAAATCCTGCACACTTCCTGCTTTCGACCAATGACAAAACCGTTAAATTGTGGAAAGTCAGCGAGCGCGACAAATCCTTCGAGGGCTATAATACAAAAGAGGAGAACGGCCTAACGAGGGATCCACAAAACATTACCGCCTTACGAGTTCCTTCTGTTAAACAAATCCCTCTGATGGTCGAAGCATCACCCAGACGCATTTTTGCCAACGCCCACACCTATCACATCAATTCGATTAGTGTTAATTCAGATCAAGAGACTTATTTATCGGCAGATGATTTACGAATCAATCTGTGGCATTTGGAAGTAACCGATCAAAGTTTCAATATTGTCGACATCAAGCCGACAAATATGGAAGAATTGACCGAAGTGATAACAGCAGCTGAATTCCATCCAACCGAGTGCAATGTCTTCGTGTACTCAAGTTCAAAGGGCACAATACGTTTGTGCGACATGCGTTCGTCGGCATTGTGCGATCGGCACAGTAAACAATTCGAAGAGCCAGAGAATCCAACAAATCGTAGTTTCTTTAGCGAGATCATTAGTTCAATAAGCGATGTGAAATTAAGCAATTCGGGTCGTTATATGATCTCAAGAGATTATTTGAGTATTAAAGTATGGGATTTGCATATGGAAACAAAGCCCATTGAAACGTATCCGGTAAGTGTTGACGAAAATTATGCGTACTTCTTAAAAATTCTAACACATTTGGAATTAAACGTAATTAAAATGTTGGCCCCCAACTTTGTTCCACTCGATATTTTCGCATTCTGACACCCAAAAACCTTAAACACGATACGAATGATTCGGTACAAGTGATATGGGTTGTCATTTTTTTTTTTTTTGCACCTGCACTCCTTTTTTCAGAGAGAAGGCAGACATAATATTATTTTGGATCTATGGAAGCATGGAATTATTGCCTGAACTTAAACATTGCGTTTTCAACCATTTGCACGGAATTTTCCATCCAACTTTTAGGATGACATCCTAACCGAGCCCTTGACATAATTTTTATCCCAGCTTTTGGCGATAAATATATTTGATTAATATGTTTTAAACAAATAATGGTAATTTAAATTCGAATGGTATTAGGATACATGAATGTGAATTCGGCTGAAACATATATCCCCTATATATTTTTAGGAAATTTTTACCAAAATTGAAGTCATTTTTCTAGGTAGAATTCCGTGACTTGATTATTTTTTATAGGATATTATGCATTTGGTTTTACAAGAAGAATGAAATCGAAACAAGTTATACAGGGTGAGATAAAAATGGTATAAGTTTTACATTTTTTTTTTTGAGTGCGATGGTGCTGAGTCCTGTTTTAATTTCCAAGGTCTGCGGCCAAAATGTTTGCGTGCCCATGGTTTTAATACATCCTCCAGAATATTTTCACGACAATATTCGGCATTTATTCTGATGCTACGTTCGGTTAATACGAACGGAGAGTGACCATCGGCTGTTATGGTGGCCCACACCATCACCATGGCCGGCGCTTGAGTTCTGGTGGCCAACCGAATGTGCACATTTTCAGCTGACCTCTTTGGCAAGTAAACACGATCATTTTGTTTGTTTACAAACTGCTGGACAACGAATGTTTTCTCATCGGAGAAAACTAAATTCGTCAGTGCACCACTTTCGGCCAAGCGAAGCGACTCTTTAGCTCTTTTGAGTTTATTTTCTTTCTGTTGCGGTGTAAGTTCTTGCACTTTTTGGAATATCAATGGCTTCACCCCGAGCTCATTTTTCAATAATTACCGAATGGAATATTGCGAGCCATTTTTCGGCCACTGCGACGCGGGTTTCGATCAAGTCGCTTCTTTACTTTTCGAGCCATTCCTGCTGCCATTTCTTCCGCCCACTTCCTTGATGTCGGGCTACGCTACCAGTATCACGGTAACGAGCGATGATACGAGACCCAAAATATCTATTCACATTTAAATGCTGGAGTGCTTTAACGATAGCCACTGGTGGTTTTTCAGCTAAATATAAAGAAATCACACTATTACGCTTGAATTCCATCACGAATAACGTTTTTGTCTAGAAAATTTTCACTAAAATGCTTTTGTACGCTTGTAAACAATATAATGAGCTGTCACTGAAATAATTTTAACAGCTGTCGGACGAGTGGCTTAGAAATTACAACAGTCTGAATGCAGTTTTTTCATCCCCCACCTTCCTTCATTTTGTAAAATATTAATTCGCTTCTTACATTGTGGATACAAATCAATGACAATGTTGCAATTTTACATTGAAAATCGTTTACAATCGTTTCTAATAATTGTTCATTTTTTCGTTTCAGGTCCACGAATATTTGCGGGCTAAGCTATGTTCTTTATATGAGAACGATTGCATTTTCGATAAATTCGAATGTTGTTGGAATGGCAAAGATACCTCAATAATGACCGGCAGTTATAATAACTTTTTCCGTGTATTTGATCGTAATGCGAAAAAAGACGTTACTCTAGAGGCCTCCCGAGACATTATCAAACCGAAGACGGTGCTAAAGCCACGCAAAGTTTGCACTGGCGGCAAACGAAAAAAAGATGAAATCAGTGTTGATTGTTTAGATTTCAATAAGAAAATTCTACACACCGCTTGGCATCCGCAAGAGAATATAATCGCTGTGGCAGCCACCAATAATTTGTTCATATTTCAGGATAAATTCTAGCCTACATTCATTTATTATTATTACCACTACTACTACTACAAACAATATTTTGTTATTATGATGTACTCTATAATATACCACACACACTTTGAAACAAAAACAACAACAAGAAATCCAAACAACAAAAAACTCTTTCCTCCTTCAAAATAAGAAAACAAAAACTGAAAAGAAAAGAAAACAAAACAAAACAACCACTAAAATCAACAACAAAAAGCCTTTCTATTCTTAGATTTCTTAAAGGAACAAAAGAAAATTCAAAAAACAATTATTATTATTATTATACATAAAAAATGAATATTTTTCTATTGCATCAATACTAAAATTTATTTTCTGTTCTGTTCCCCACACAACACAACTGTTCTTAAGTTATATTTTTTTTGCCCCACCATTATTTTGTTGTAATATTTTGTTTCTTTGCTACTAAGTTGATTTTTTTCTCCACCCTAGCCTAACCTCAAAGCTCTTGATAAATTTCCAAAATTGTTTTTCAAACTAGAAAATAAAGCTTTATAAATATTCTTTAAATATAATTCTAATCCTGTCTGCCCTCCCTAACTGTCTAACTATCTCTCTTTTCCCCCTCTTCTCCCTCTCCACATCCACTCTATATATCTCATTGTCTATTCTATAATTATTTTTATTATTATATTATTATTAAAAAACATATGCCATAGTGTCAAAAACAAAAACAAAACAATGCCTTTTTCTAAAAAAACAAAACCAACAAAACAAAAAACATACAACAACGTACTCTTAAATATTTTTGTTTTTATAGGAAATACTTTAATTTTATAAAAAACTCAAGTGAAAAAGAAAACAAAAAAAAAATTAAATAAACATTAAGCATAATAATTATAAGCGTTTCTTTTTAAAAGAAAAAAAAACGCTTAGTTTTTTTGTAATGTTAAAATAACAAGATAAAAACAAACAACAAATTACTTGAAACAAAAAACCAAACAAAGCAACAAAAAACAAATTATTATTATAATAAAATATTGAAAAGGAAAACAAAAAAAAAAGAAGCAGAATAAAAGAAACATAAAAGAAATCCTCCTTACCGCTTATTTACTATCCTCTCTTTCCCCCATAAAATCTTCTTCATCCATCTGGAAAACAAAACAACAACAACAACAATAAAGAAATAATAAGAATAAACTTTAATAATAATAATACAAAAATAAAAAAAATACAAAAACAAATTAAAAAAACTTATGATTTTTATTTCCCATTTTCTGTTCATGTTTTGGTTTGTAAGTTTTATTTCAAGTGTTATTAATATTTATAAAAGTATATATTAATAAAAGTGTTGGCGAATCTGTTAAAGGGAACAGCATTGTGTTTAAAACAAATAGAAGTTTGAATAAAATAAAAAAAAAAAACAAAAAAAAGTCTGGGATTGGTATAACCATAGAGCTCGAAATCGATCGATTCAATCGTTGGTTTGTCTTCTTTTTAATATTTAGTTAGTTATTTCAATTTGTTTAGTTATTTTTTTTTAAATAATTTTTAATGATGATCTACATTATATAAAATATTTTCAGATGTAATTGATCATTTATTCCAGGGACGACAAAAAACTATTATTTATTGGTCTCTCTCGTTTCAAACATATTTTAGCACCTTCCAATTTCTTATGAAACTGTTTGACTTAGAAACTTAATTTGATTCGTATTTGAACTACCCGGCAAAGTGTTTAATACCAATCATGATGTTCAATCATCGGTGCAAGTCATATGTTGATGAAGGAGGAGAATTAAAATATGTTCTTAATGTTTTTGACCCGAAAGTCCGGGTCCAAGATCCTTGCTATACCAGGATCCACTTACCCAAAATATACAATATAGGTATCGCTGAAATAGGTATGAAAATTAAAAAATAGGTAGAATATGAAAATAACTATCCAACAAGTGGTCACTAGATGGGGTTGTTTAAAGTGGGTCGAAAGTTATAGTCCAATTTTTGGTTTTTACACCCGGTTTTTATTAAAACCCCCAAAAAGTCGAAAAATTGCCCATTATGCCAAATTATAGCTGACACTCTTACCTTTGCTAATGCTACAATACCATGTGCTAATACCACTTCTGGGTCCAGAGATATTCTCTTCTAGATATCTTCAACTGGCTACGCGAATTAAAGTTTTCTAAATTTAACAATTGTTTTAAGTAGACGGAATCAGGGTAAAAATACCGAACTTTGGAAAAAAAAATCAAAAAGTTTTTACTAAATTAGAGTTGTTTCAATTGGCCACAGCTAAAAAAATCAATGTCGTCACAATTTTTTACGGCGAGTTTATGTCAACTATTGTATCGACAATGATAATAGCAATCATTCATTGCTATCGACAAAAAACGACTACCCTAATACCGTTATTATTGTCTCGACTTCATTTTGCGACGACGACGACAAGCGTAATAGTGCTGATTCTAATCATTTTGTCGTTAATGGATGATGTATCCTGACTTCAGTATTAGAACTCAAGCTAACAGCTCAAGATAAATTTCCATTAAATTTTGCTGAGTTTCAAAATACATGAAATAAACCCATTGCGTTCATCTTAGTTAATAGGTTAGTGATGTTTGCTTTTTATATGGCGGAATTTTCTGATGTATCATAAATCAAATATTGTGAACATTAAAAAACATTTAAGTTCGAATTGGTCATGTCGCCTAAATTCAGACAAGCTGCGAGTAGTTGCCTCAATTCGTATTCGTTCCGAGGTTTCTTTGTTGTTCTCCTCTAATCCGGTTATGGTTAAAATTCTAATCTCAGGAAGGAGGCGATCTTTATGAGCTGAGTCCATAGCGATACTGAAGTTGGGTAACTAGGTTGGCCTGAAAAATTAAAAAGTTGCAGCATATCATGTGAGCCTGTTTCACACGCAGGGCATATGCTCCGCTCACTGTTATCAATTCAGGCTCAATACTTATTGATGCGACTGCTGTTACTCTCCGTTGCGCTGAGACTATTTTTTTTGTCTATACAGCTATCATTCTTCGGCCGCGATGGGATGCGGATGATATGTAAGGACGGTATTCATTCTGTATTCATCCACTTGATAACTTGCTAAGCCTGTTGACGTTGAGGCTCCCTCTTATACCTCGATAACCTTTTAGGAAATGAAGGTATTTTCTTAATTTACAATTTGTATCCTCCTAAGGGGTTTTCTAAACAGACAAGATTAATCCACTGGATCTAATAAACACAGTGGTTGAATCTTGGAATATATGCGCTATTAGCTTAGTCGATTAAAAAAATAATTACAAATCTTTTGAAATGTTTTTATTTTGGGTCCCAAATACACACAATATTTTCAAACAAACAAAAAAAGTACATTTATTATTTTATTGTGTATTATTTTTTTCTCTTATTTCTTTTTTTTAAATTTATCTCCCTCAAAAGTATGAATTTAATATATTATGACCAGATGGTGTATCAAATGCTCCAAAAACCAAAAAAGGACCGATTTTGTTTTCATATAAGTATTATATAATTTATATTAAATTTGAATGATGGAACAAGACAAAAAATTATATATACATAAATATAATTTAGGCATATACATATATATTTATTATATATTATACAACATTGATATTGACTTCAGTTTGCACATTATTATTTGTCCGCCTTTATAATTAGTTTTGTAAATATTATTGGAAATTCCAACGAGAAAAAAAAACGAGAACAATTAAATAACTAAACAAAGTGTGTAAAACAAAAATATAAACTATTACATACACAAGCATACATACATAATATATACATACATAATGAAATGAAACAAAAAAATGTTGAAGAAAAGGCATCCAATGTGAAAAACGCATGGGCTGAAAGGAATCGTCTTTCAATGACTTAGTAACCTTAAGATGATGTTACAATAGGCCATTGATCTTTTCTTATAATAATTATTATTATTTTAATATTTCTCATTATTATTTATTATTTTAGTTTCAGCACATATTTGAAATCAACCGAGTCATTTGGGGCGTTTTCTTCCTTGAATTATTTTTTGTATACCCTCAGCCATATGGCTAAAAGTGCCTAGTCGAAATAACGTTTTTAGACCCTAGGTCTCTTTGGACCAAATCCGTTTCAGAACATTTGGAGTCGATATAGCGATGTTCGTCCGTCCGTCTGTCTGGCTGGTTGATTCGCACGATAACTCTCGAAGGGAGTATCCGATTTGGTCCAAACTTGGTACATTGTAATATTTTTGTCAAAACTATATTGAGTTCGGAGATGGGCAATATCGGTTCACTCCTTCTGTTACCTCGCCCACAAAAGGTCGAAATTTTAAAAAATAAATTTTTCAAAACAAAAAAATATTTTCTGCACAGAAAGGGAAGCAATAATCTAATTTTGCTCTAACTTTGCAAATGCTAATATTTGCGTTAATGCTAGGCCTGATGTGAAAATGGACAATATCGGTCCACTTCTTCTGGTATCTCCCCCACAAAGAGTCAAAATTCTGAATAACTATAACTCTTATAAAATGTGACGTAAGAGTCCGTCACATCCTACAATTTTTATAAACCCAAGATCTGGTAGTAAGACGGAATATATCGGTCCACTCCTTCTGGTACCATCCCCACAAAAAGTGGGAATTTTGAATATCCATTATGCTCATAAAACGCGAAATCAACATCAGATTTCATTTAGACTTGGCACATCTTAATGTTTATTAAATTCGAAATAAGCATCAGGTTCTCTTTATATTTCACACATACAAAAATTTTTACTAACACAAAGTCTGTTGTGAAGATGAGATATATCGGTGCACTCCTTCTGATACCTCCCCCACAAAGGCTCAAAAATATCCATGAAGCTCATAAAAGCGAAATCAAGATTTTGAAAAACAAATACAAACATTTTTGCTAACACAAGACATATTGTGATATGCTACATATATGTGAACCCTTCTGGTACCTCATCCACAAAGGGTCACAGCTTTCAATACTTGTATCTGTCATAAATTGCGAAACAACTCAGTGATTCTTTACAACTTGCTATATCCAAATATATCTCTCTCAACCAGAAACCTGAGATGAATATGGAATTTTAAGATTTCCCATAAATTGGAATAACTGTTCGATTTTCTTATAATATTGGACATATCAATATTTTTATCTGTATTAGATGAATCATGAAAATGGTATAGTCCGGTCGACTATATCTGGCACGTCACGCACATGTTAACATTTTCTAAAAATTATCACGTATCTCATGTAAAGTGAAGGAAGCTACCAATATAGTCCAATGTGCCAGGTACATCGCAATATTTATATCATATTTATTTAGGTCCGACACAAAATGGACAATATTGGCCCATTCTTTCAAAATCCGCTTCATAGAGGGTTAAGAGTTCTAATAATTATAACAAAAGTCATTTTTTTTTTGAAATAATCGAACATTGGCTGAGGGTATACGTCTCATTCATTCCATCATTCGATAAATTTTAACGGCTCTTTTTTCTTTTCGGTTTCGTTCGAGTTCAACGAAAAATGTATTTTATTCAGCTTATTTTTTAAACGATTTTAAAATTTTTACTGCAACTTTTCAGCCTACGAGTTTACACAATCGCGAAGAACTACATCCAAAACCACTCACACACACACTTGGCTAAAGTTTCAATATATTTACAACCAAATTAAAAAACGAAGAAGAAAAAACTAAAATTTTTGAAAATGTTCACATACACACACGCATTAATTATTAGCATTTATCAAGGATATAAAGAAAACAAAAAAAAAAAAAAACAACAACAAATACAAAATCGCTACTAACATTAAACGAAAACTATGAGAAAAAGAGACAAAGAAATGCTAAAAAATAAAAATTATACTATACCAACCAAGAGAAAGGAATACAAAAAGAAAACAAACAAATCTACTAAGTATTTAGTTTTGCAAGCAAATGATAATTTAATTAAAACAACAACAACAGAATAATATAAAAAATTCAACAATAAAGAGAAAAATGTTAACAATGAAATTGAAAAAAAATAATAATAAAAAGCATTTTATGTAAAGTGGTTTTATTTCATTGCGCATAAAAGACTTAGGACACAAGCGCTGGTATTTTTGTCGTGTTCCAAAACGAAAGTCTTAAGACACAAGTTAGTATTTTTTTCGCACCAAGCCACTGGTCCGTAAATTGCATTCATGGTAGAAGAATACACGTAGTCGCATCGACACAGCATCTGAGACAATGAACTGTCAAATTAATTTTGAATGAAAAATTATTCAAATTTCGCTTATTATTTTTGAAAAAAAACATTTTAGAAAATTTGGCATATCAATGTTCCCAAGCGTGTTCTACCTGTGTTCCTCTACCATGATTGCATTTAAATCTAATAGCGCCTTTAGATACATAATTTTATCTAAATTAACTCGCATTATCAGGATGTATTGCTTAATCCAGTATTATTCAACCATTACCATACAAAAATTGATCTTCTCACAATATAAATTATTTTAAACCTGGTCCGAAATCGACATGGTAACGGGGAGCATCACTGGACACAGCATTGTACCCATAACATCTGTGGGCACACTCCAAAGTCGGGACTGTTTCCGCTAAGTTGTTTACATTTTGCATTCGAACAGTAACAAAAAAAGTTAAAATGTTATTTGCTGATAATAATACATAATAGTACTTATTAAAAAAACATTTTTAAATTTTGGACATGTCAATGTTCCAAAGCGTTGATGAGTCTACCTTTATTCTTCTTTTTTGTTGATCTCATACATTTTCCGAAAAATTAATTATTCCGGAGAACGTTTTCCGTGGGCATAAATCTAAACATAGGCTTTCAATGTATCAATTATCGTGTTTACTTGCCAAAGAGGTCAGCTGAGAATGTGCACCTTCGATTGGCCACCAGATTTCAAGCGCCGGCCATGGTGATGGTGTGGGCCGCCATAACAGCCGATGGTCGCTCTCCGCTCGTATTAATCGACCGTAGCATCAGAATAAATGCCGAATGTTATCGCGAAAATATTCTGGAGCACTCAGCACGCACCCCCAAGATTGGTTGCAAAATGAGGTTCCTCGATTCATTTCCAGCGCACAATGGCCACCAAAATTTCCGGATACCAATCCGTTGAAGTATTGTATCTGGAGTATTTTGAAAAGCAAGGTTGGCACTAAAAAATGCAAATGTCGATCACTTTAAGAAAGCTCTTCACCGGGAATGGGCCAAAATACCACAGAACAACATTCGGGCTGCGTGTGACGGTTTCATTGGCCGTTTGATGGCCATAATTCGCGCCAAAGGTAAACAATTCGAAAAAATCTAAATTTATTCTAAAAATTGAAACTATGTCCGACATATTTTGCTTTCATTCAATAAAATTTAAAAAGAAAATGTAAAAATTATGGCGTTTGACTTGGTTGCAGTTTTTTATCTCACCCTGTATAGTAGAATTTATTGTTTGTCATAGCTACCTACCCCTACTTTCCCAGCTGATAGAGTAGCGGGCTATCGGCCATTATGCTCCACCCTCATTCGTAAACAAAAACAAGCTGTCAGCAATTTTGTTTACTGTTTATTTTTTATCGGTCACTCTCTTTGGTTCTTCTTATTTGTATCGTTTGGAACGCTTTTGATTTTGTTGGTTCTTAGTCAACCAAGATGGCGAGTGAAAACGTCAAAAGAGTGTCAGAGAGTCAAAAGAGTTATGAGAAAAGAAATTCAGTGAAAAAAAATAAATTTATGAATGAAATACGATGATGCATTTCCGACATTTTTTGCTTTCATTCAATTAAATTAAAAAAATTATGGCGTTTGACTTTGTTGAAGTTTTTTTTATCTCACCCTGTATAGTATAATTTATTGTTTGTCATGCCTACCTACCCCTACTTTCCCAGCTGATTGAGTAGCGGGCTATCGACCATTATGCTCCACCCTCATTCGTAAACAAAAACTGGCTGTAAGCAATTTTGTTTACTGTTTATTTTTTATCGGGTATTCCTTTGTGGCCTTCATATTCGTTTCGTTGGGACGTTTTTCATTTTTGTTTCCAACGCTCCGCATTTCTTTGACACATATACCGACTTTTTTGTGCTTAGCCGCCGCCGCCGGGAATTTCACATCGGCTTCGCCCTCTGCCAAGATGGCGAATGAAAACGTCAAAAGAGTGTCAGAAGATTGAGAAAAGAAATTCAGTGAAAATAAATAAATTTATGAATGAAATACGATGATGCATAACAGGGAAATTGTGCAAAGCTAAACAAATCTAATAACTTGGAAAAAATTGAATGAAATAACGTACAAAATTATGAAGTATTCGGCTGCTGGTGGATGGATGAACAACTTGTGATTTGTGGCATTTTTTTGTGGTAAGTCGGTTTGCGTTGCTCTCAAAATGATTCTGATTTGTTTATTTGTTTGTACGAGTGTGTGCGTGAGCATTTTTTTATTTACATTGCGGAAAATTCACAAAAACACCCTACACATTATTTGAATGGCATAGTCGTGATTGTCCATGCATGGGGAATGATGTGAAATGAGGGTTCCTGAAAATAGCTAAGTTGTTTTGCCATTCCTAATCATCAACATTATTGGATTTGAGCATTTTGCGTTTCTCCCAAATTTAAGTTCGAACCACAAGACCTTGAAATTACTTTTTTGGGGAAGTAGGTACGTATTTCTTATCTTTTGAAATGTTTCTCATGTTGTATCCAAAATTGTTGTTATTTATGCGATTTTATGTACCGCCGTCTTGATGTGACATGCTTTGTAAAAATTAATACAACCCCATAACCCCGTCCCCATTGTATACGAAACCGTCATTACCTCCAATTGTGTTTCTAAGCAGGAAACATTGAGAGCTCGACACCAGAAAATAAAGAACCAATTAGAGTGGCGATCAGCAAAACATTGTTTACATTCCACACAGATTGAGAACAAAATCAGAGGCGTTTTGTGCAATGTTATCAGTTAAACACTGCCTGCCTCCTACTCACAGACCCATATTCATAGTGTATTAATCGTGTAATAGTTTACGAGCCAAGGGGATGAAAACTAAAACAAAGATTTCGTTTTGCAGCTTTAACAGAGAACAGCAACGGCAACAACAATTAAGCGCACATTTTAATTGACATTTTTTTCGTTGTTGATGTTAGATTTTGTGCTAAAAATTAATCTAAGCGTAACGACACATCATTTATAAAGTACAACTAACTGTTTGTTTGGTTTGTTTTTTACTATACTACCTACTGTTTTTTTGTTTTGCAGATAAAAGATAACGGAGGCTTTTTCATATGCAATTTTGGTTACAGTATTTTTAAGAAAAGATAAAGAGGGGTAAAGAATTTTGTCAATTACTGCCACCCCAAATCACGACAAAAACATTGCCCGCATCATTTAATCGATATAATTTACAAACTATTCAATAAGCATTACCAACACACACACACACACCGTCAGAAGGAAAGTATATGCAATATTATCAAAATGTCATTGCTGCGTCAGTTTTTTGGTACCTCATCGAACACATGGGTCCGAGCCCTCATCATATTCTGTTTAGCCTGGGCTTTTCTCGTCTACATTTTTGTGACCAAATTAAATCCACCATCTACCGAGGAACCTGATAACACATCTAAGCGAATTAATCAAGCTCTGCAATTGCTGGAGGCATCACGTCAACGAAATCAGGAATTACAAGAAATGATTGATACCCTATTGAAGTGAGTATTTTATTTATGGATTTAATTTTGTGACTATTTTTAATATTATTTTGACTCTATTTCGTATATAAATGATACGGATTCACCGGAAATGTTTCAAATTTGGTATTTGAAGTTCGTAATGGGTACTACAGCCCATGACAGAATTTGGTCTGTGCAGGTCCACGTCTTCGTATAGCCCCCATATTGTTAGGTCAACTTCTTCTTATAGTCCCCCATATAACAGTACCCCCCGATATTCGGTATTTTTATGATTTTAGCGACATTATTCATCGGAGTTGTTTGTAATTTGGCGTTTGATGTTCGTAGTGGATACTACAGTCTATGACAGAAAATTGTCTGTGCAGGTCCACGTCTTCGTATAGCCCCAATACATTCCTATATTCGGTATTTTGATGATTTTAGCTACATTGTTCTCCGAATTTTTTTATTCAAGTTTCGCATTTGAGTATTGTATTGGTTTATGACAAAAGTTGCCTATGCAGGTCCACGTCTTCGCATAGCCCCAATACATTCCTATATTCGGTATTTTGATGATTTTAGCTACATTGTTCTCCGAATTTTTTTATTCAAGTTTCGCATTTGAGTATTGTATTGGTTTATGACAAAAGTTGCCTATACAGGTCCACGTCGTCGTATAGACCCAAATATAACGGCTAAATTCGGTATTTTTGAGATTTTAACAGAATTTTTAACGGATTTTATTTTAATTTGTTTGAAAATTGCCAAAAGTGGTGGAGGGTATTCAAAGATCGGCCCGGCCGAACTTACAGCTTCTTTACTTGTTTCTTAAAAAAATGAGTCGATTGACTCATTTTTAAATCTCCATGATTGCGCGTTGACTAAAAATAAAAGCATTTCTTATTTGTAAATATTTATTAACTGGAATTCTTCTAAATCTTGTTGTTACAGCGATGATCGCGTGGACAAACAATCAGCGCAGAGGCTTATACAAAAATTGGAATATAATATAAAGAATCCCCTGGGCATAGAATCAAAACAAGACTCTCCGGTACCATTTGGGAGTCCATCGAATGAACCCACACTGGAGTATGAACTGCTGCGAAGGAGAATACAAACAAATATTGCAGAAATATGGAATTTCTTTAGCAATGAATTGGGAAAGATTCGCAAACAAGTTGATCCCAATATGAAAGAAGATATAAATAGTGTTTTAATAATGGGAGCAGAACACAAACGTTCGCTGCTAAGCGATATGGAACGTCTACATCAATTGGACGGCTATGAGGCATGGCGACATCAGGAGGCTAAAGATTTAAGTGATCTGGTGCAGCGACGTCTTCGTTACTTACAAAATCCACCCGATTGCGGGAAGGCCAAGAAATTGGTGTGCAAATTGAATAAAGGCTGTGGCTATGGGTGTCAACTGCATCATGCCGTTTATTGTTTCATAGTCGCATATGCTACGGAACGTACATTGATATTAAAATCGAAAGGTTGGCGTTATCACAAAGGTGGCTGGGAGGAGGTATTTCAACCGGTATCTGATTCTTGCCTTGACATTGGACCGGCTAGAGCCAACAATTGGCCGGGTAGGCCGGAATCGCAAGTTGTTGTATTGCCTATTATTGATTCGCTAATGCCAAGACCACCTTATCTACCACTTGCCATACCTGAGGATATTTCATTTCGTTTGAAACGTTTGCACAGTGAACCCATTGTTTGGTGGGTTGGACAGTTTTTGAAATATTTACTACGGCCACAGAAGGGAACACAGGAATTTTTGGAAAATAGTATGGCAAAATTGGGTTGGAAGAAACCTATTGTTGGGTAAGTTTCAAGATTTTGAATACCAATATTTTGAAATAAGATAATGTCGATTTGAATATCATCAACTATGTTTCAAAAATCATCCCTGAATAATAATGTTTTAAATTTGTTTGGTATAATTTCATATACGGGGTCTAAATTTAGCTCGATGCTAGACTGAAGATTTACATTAAAGTTACAAAGATAATTTAGTGGTAGTAATCTCAATAACTTTCCTTAGGAGTAGGAAGTAAAATCAACAAAAATGCTTTAAAAATAGTGACTTAATAGATAGAAGGGTCGGATCTTTCTAGTCTTGAGCAGATAAAATCAATATCTCATTGATAAAATCAATATCTAAACTAAATTATGGATATCCAATGATTCAATCAGCTAAACTTAACGTTCTATTTCTCGATCTCGTTTTGAACGTATTCTGTTCACAATCAGAATATTGCGCCCACTATTTAGAATAGACTTGCATTCCATGGAATCCGATTTTGAACCGAACCGTGAACAAAACCATTGTCTAAAAAACCAAAAATCGCATCCAATTAAAACAAGTAAAAAGCTGTAAGTTCCGTTGGCTGAACTTTGAATACCCTCCACCATATGGAACGAGTTTGGCAATTTTCAAAAAAAAAAAAAAAAAAAAAAATAATAATAATAATAATAATAATGTGGACCTACATAAGCAACTTTTGTCATAAGCTATTAAATGCGAAACTTGAAAAAAATCGGTGTATAATGTAGTTAAAATCATCAATATAGGGAGGTATTTTTATATGGTGGCTATACCAAAATGTGGACCTGCACAGACAATTTTCTGCCTTATGCTGCAGTATCCATTACGAACTTCAAATACCAAATTTCAAAAAAAAAAAAGGATGAATAATGTCGCTAAATCATCAAAATACCGAACATAGGGAGGTACCGTAATATGGGGGCTATACGAAGACGTGGACCTGCACAGACAATTTTCTGTCATAGGATGTAATATTCTTTACGAACTTCAAATGCCAAATTTGAAACAATTCCGGGGAATAATGTCTCTAAAATCAATAAAATATCGAATATAGGGAGGTACTGTTATATGGGAGCTACACGAAGACGTCGACCTGCACAGACAATTTTCTGTATTAGCCTTTGCGAACTTCAAATACCAAATTTGAACTAATTCCGGTAAATAATGTCGCTAAAATCTTCAATATACCGAATATCGGGAGGTTCCGGTATATGGGAGCTATACGAAGTCGTGGACCTGCACAGACAATATCCTATCATGGGGTGTAGCATCCACTACGAACTTCAAATACCAAATTTGAGAGAATTCCGGTAAATAATGTCGCTAAAATCATCAAAATACCGAATATCGGGAGGTACCAATACCAAAACGTGGACCTACATGGCTATTTTCAATACCAGACATAATATACATTTGACTAAAATTGTATTAACCTACTTCATTTCGTTCGGAAGCTAAAGTAATTTCTACAGACGGAAGGAAATCGCTACATTGACATAGAATTTATGCTGCTCAAGAATATATATACTTTGTGGGGTCCAAAATGTATATTTCGAGGTCTAAAATGTATATTTCGAGGTGTTACAAAGTTCCGGAAACGGAGTACTATGTAGGAGGGTATAAAAAAAGTCTATACATCGGAGACATATATACGTTATAATAAGGAATACATAATTTGTAAATTAGTAATGAACCTAACTTTTATTTTTTCTTCTCCGTTTCAGAGTTCATGTTCGACGAACCGATAAGGTAGGTACAGAGGCGGCTTTTCACAGCATTGACGAATACATGACACATGTAGAGGATTACTATTTGACACAAGAAATCAACGGTACGAGTATGACACGACGTATATTTTTGGCATCCGATGATGCACGAGTTATTGACGAGGCACGTAAAAAATATCCACAATACGAGATAATTGGCGATGCCGAGGTGGCACGAATGGCAGCTGTCTCTACGCGATACACAGATACCGGCCTCAATGGCATTATCTTAGACATACATCTATTATCGATATCTGATTATTTAGTGTGCACCTTCAGTTCACAAGTGTGCCGGGTGGCATATGAAATAATGCAGACCCTATATCCCGATGCAGGACATCGTTTTAAATCGCTGGACGATATTTACTATTATGGCGGACAAAATCAACATAATCGACAAGTTGTAATACCGCACAAGGCTAGAAATCATGATGAATTGCATTTGAAACCCGGAGATTTGGTAGGTGTTGCTGGCAATCACTGGGATGGTTTTTCGAAGGGGAAAAATACGCGCACCAATCAAGTTGGCCTGTTCCCATCGTTTAAAGTTGTCGATAAAGTGGAAACGGCCAAATTGCCAACTTATCCGAATGTGTAAATAGTCTTCTTTTTAATTTATTTATTTTAGAACACAACAACAAGAAATTTCAGGTCTATTTAGGGTTTCCTTTAAGAGACAAACAAAAAGAGCTGTTGCTCGTTTTGTTGTATTATTTACTTTCCTTTTTCGATGTAAATAAGTATATAATTTTTCGCAATTGTGTTTTTCGTTTTTGTCTGTGTTTTTTGTTTATGTCTATGTAGATCATGTTTAAGGCACCATCAAATCCATCCTTGTAACTATAATTCCTATATTATAGAGAGTAATTTGAAAAAAATTGCTTTAACTTTTCTACCTTTTCTAAATATTTATTAATTTATTTTGGATATATTTTATATATATTTTTATAAATCTTAGAATGAATCTCATTGGATTTCAAATTGATATTAAATGCCACGCTCTTCTGTATTGTAAATTGTATTAGGTAAACTTTATATGTATTATTTTTTTAGACTACATTTAATTGACCTCCCAACTCGAATACATCAATGAATCATCTACTTAAATTTATTGTTTTGTATTGCATTTCTTTTGGAGTTCTCTTTTTTGATAAAAGTTTCTTCAAAAAATACATAAATTGTGTCATCAATGGAATATTAAACGAAGAAGTAATTACATATTTGTTTGGTGGGCAATTGTCATGAAATGAAAGTGAATTGGATTGTGTCCTTTTCAACAATTCTAAACCTAGTTTCCAGAAAATATATGTATATGTATACAAAATATGCTTCTTGGCAAAAACACGTTTAATGAAAAATGAGAAAAAATTTGTCTAATTTTGAAAACAAGGGCAACAACATGGAAGTTGGGAAAATGTTTTTCTATTTTATAGTACGTTTATATATATGAGGGTTAACCCACTGGGTTTGGATTCAAATTGTCATATCCATTATTTTTACTTCAAATAAATCCTCTCAAAGTAGGTTAACCCTACAAAAAGTTCTAACGTAAACATGGCATTATATTTAAAAAAATACTAGTGTAAACGGATTATACCTTCGAAGTAGTGAAAGTTTGGTGTCGTATGTTAATTACTATGTAGCTCATCGAAATAATTTTGATTCTCTATTGATATCAGAGCTAACTGGCTTCACCACCACCCTAAATGTGGCTTTTCATGATTCTAGAAATCTGGTGATGTAAACCTAGCCTTTTACACAAAGCTCCTTTAACATTCCTATTGAAATGCAGCCCGATTCAAGACTTTGGATAGGTCGACCAATTTCGCTGGATGTAAAGGAAAGACATCAGTTTTCGTTTGAGCTTATCATATTTTTGGCTTGTTTTGGAATTTTGCACACACAACCAACTAACCTAGCCTTTTACACAAAGCTCCTTTAACATTCCTATTGAAATGCCGCCTGATTCAAGACTTTGGATAGGTCGACCAATTTCGCTGGATGTAAAGGAAAGACAGCAGTTTTCGTTTGAGCTTATCATATTTTTGGCTTGTTTTGGAATTTTGCACATACAACCAAATTAGACCTGAAAAAAGTGTGCCAAATTTGATCGAAATCGGTTCAGATATAGCTATAGCTTCCATATATATTGTTTATCGGATTTGCTATTTTTGTCATCCGCAGCCGTAATATGCTCTCTGTAACAACAATATTTGGGAATATATTTCAAATACAGCTCAGAAATACATTTGCTAAATGTTATCGGGTAAGATTTGGATATAGCTCCCATATATAACTTCGTACTATTTACCTTTTATTGTGCACCAAAAGTCTAATAATTGCCCAAATTTAATGGAATTTGGCACTTACGACCGAATTGAGTCTATAAGCTGGTATGTCAAATTTGGTGAAGATCGGTTCAGATATAGCTACAGCTCCCATATATATTGTTCATACGATTTGTTATATATGTTACCCACAGCCGTAATATGCACTCCGTAACAACAATATTTAGGGAAATATATCAAATACAGCTCAGAAATATCGAGATCGGTTCAGATTTGGATATAGCTTCCATATATATCTGAATTTATCCGAATTCAATGGATATCCGAATTTAAAAGATACAAATGCTTCGGCATATTTAGTCCTTTGAACTTTAAATTATATTTTTTTAATCATAGTGTGTATGATTGGATTCTCCTATAAAAACTTTTAATTGTTATGTGGAGCTCTACTAAATAAGCAAAGTGGTGTAGGGTATCATAAAGTCGGCCACGCCCGACTTTAAGCCGTTCTTCACTGGTTTTATTTGCAATTTGCCGAAGAAATTACATATCTCAAATTTATCCGAAAGTTAAAAAAAGAGTAAGAGCAGGGGAACTTGCCTCCTCCATTTAGGTGACTTTGCGATGTAAACTTTCAAAAGGCCGATACACGTGCCTTCTATTTTTAGTTCTACTTTCATAATCTGCTGTATTTTCCCGCTAATAATTGTTTGTGTTTTACAGTGTAATAGAAGTTCTTAATAGGCACCATATTCTCTGACAGAAAAGTTCATATGTAGGTTTTCCTATTGCCACCATATAACGGTACCTCCGAATACTTCATATTCTCATAATTTTAGCCACATTTTTAAAGCGAATTGCTCCAAATTTGATATTTGAAGTTCGTAATGGGTACCACCTATTATCAAAGAGAATTTGACTGAACAGATCCATGTTTTAGTAATTGCAGGGTATTTGGCTGGGTTGAACGAGCTTAACTGTGTTTTGCATTTGTATTTTGAACGTGAATTTAAAATGTTCCCTATATTAGAAGCGTACGTGTAAAACTCTCTTCTCTCTTTTCTATCCAATATAAAATAAACGATTTGTTTATCCATCATGTGAAGTGAACGTCTGTTAGGTTTCCCTCATTGAGGTTCTATTACATATTTCGGATTGCCACCGCAATATGAATTACAAAACTTTTTTAATATGTTGTTTTTTGGTTTACAGAAGTAATTCCTAACTAAATTTTGTAGCAAATCTTTTTATTTAATACATGCAATAGTTTATGCATAGCATGTTTATAGCAATTGGATCAAAAATACATATAATTGTATTGACTGTTTTTATTTTTAAATACATTCCACCATATATAAAACTCGTAATTCTAACCTTAAATATTTGTAAACGAAATCAGTTGAAGAAGTACTTGTATCTGACCATACAAAAGAAAAATGTCCCAATAAAGCATATAGAGTGTGTCGAAGGCCAAATTTTTTTAAAATATTATCTATGGTTATGATTTATATATATCTGCGTAGTGTAGGAGTTGTACTTTTTTTCTTGCAATTTTGACCTTTAAATATTCTTCTTAGAAAGCTCATATTGTTGCTGTAATTCCTTACAATTTTTAACAGAACTCAGAACTCGAGAAAAAATTATAAAAGAAATTGCGTTTGACTATTTTGACCTTAAATATGAAGTTTTATTGATCCTACATTATTTTTTCGGACACCTACACCTCAAACTTTTGGGGACCACAACAGTTGATGAGATAGGGAAAAGCTGCGGTTACGGTTAAATTACCCTTAAAAAATATTGGAAGTGTTATGTTTGTAAAAACTTATGGAAAATCATTTATCAATAGGAGTCAATATAAAAGGAATTCTAACCACAAAATATAAAAAAAAGACCCATTAAGGGTTTCTATTTTTAGAAGATACAAAGATTTTTTATCTGTAGAAAACGCAGAGTAGGTCTTATATACATAGGCCCCTCATAAACAAGTTTTGTATATTGCAAAAATTTGTGCAAAAGTTCCGAGTCATGATCAGTACTAAATGTTAAAATTTTTAAACACACATATTGAGGGTATATTAAGTTTGTCACACCGTTTGTCACACCTCGAAATATATACTCTTGATCAGCGTAAGAAGCGATTTAGCGAGTTTCGTCCGCCTGTTTGTGTGTCCGTCTGTGGAAAATACTCTAGCTTCCGAACGAAATGAAATAGGTTGATAAAATTTTTCTCAGATGTGTGTTAGGTCTGCAGGACATTTGGCATATAAAATGGGCTTATCAGTCCACGTTTTGATATAGCGTTTGAATGTTTTTTAGTCACATCCCGAATCTGCTGAAAATTGCCCACATGTTTTCCCATTATGTATGAAACATCCTTGCATGGAACTGTCAATATTGGTCTATATTTTTGTATAGTCTCCATATAACTGTACCCCCAGATATTCGATTTTTATATGATTTGTGTCGCACTTTCCACCGGAAATGTTTCAAATTTAAAATTTGAGATTCCTAATGGGTACTACATCATGGGACAGAAAAGCTATATTATTCATCGAAATTGTATCAAATTTCGTGTTTGGGTACTGCAACTTATGACAGGAAATTGCTTTACTTCCGGATTTTTTCGTTCAGAACAAAATAATAAATAAATAAGCAAAGGTTATAGTAGTGCGGGCCGACCATGTGATACCCTACAACACTACAATATGGTAGAAGTCCCCTTATGTCCAAATCCATTTTGGAAGATTGTGCTTTTGAAATTATATCATAGAGCACTGTCCAGATATTACCTTACACATTTGCCCAATATTTACGCACTCGGTCCTGCTGTTAGTTACAGCTAAATATAACCCAATGATCCAATGGTTCATTTGAACCCCTAAATATTTTGCGATTATCTCCAAATGCAGGAGGCCTCTGTGTGTCTCCAAATTTAGACTGATCTATATCACTTGCTTGTTTTCGATATTTGGCTATATTCGGCAATGACATCAGCATAAAAAGTCAGAAGTTTGCGATTTATATATTTTGGATTTCACCAGCAAGTTATTTTCAGCGTTTTGGTAGTATGGAAAAGTTTGTTTCACACAAAAGTAGTGGTCCATTCTACTCGTTGTCATAAACTCTAACTTCATGTGAGATTTTGTGTCCTTTGGTTTCTATTTGTGACCTTTATAACGGCTGCAAATCAGGAACATTTTTTGTTGTTGGTCCATTTCAACCCCTAAATTGCGGACTACAATACCCTTCTGAGCCTAACCCTACCCTTGGGAAAATGTTCGTGGGGATCAGACGATAATTGCAATCTGTATATAATACCCCAACCCGTGATGTAAGGTGAAAAAATATAAAAAAAATTCACTTCAATATTATAAGTAAAAGTCAAAGCCAAGAGGGCATTCTGAATTGACAAAATTTGATAAAATCGGCCCAGTCATTCTTGTGATATACGCATTCTAGCTAACATCCCTTTCTTTGGTATATACACATTGTATATATATCGCTATATATGTCCGATATATTTACTATCGGCATCTTCGTAACGGTCTGAATTGACCTTTCCGTGGTTATTCGTGGTTCAATGGAAAATTTGACTTTTATTTAA